GATTTGTTTATCGCTATCCAGAACGAGCGAAGGGTCAGTTGATTGAACGCATACAGACGAAGTCTTTTTCGTTTCGCTCGGACCAGGAGAATTGCGCTTTGGTCGGTAAAGTAACTACTTTGTAACCGTTGCCCTTACTATCCACGACCATGCAGAACCCTCTCCCGTGAACAACTTGTTCAATCTTACATGACTTCCAGTTACTTAATAATATAAAAATAATAATGTATGTTGCACGAATCCAGTGAAGCATGCACAAAGCATGATCAAATGTTCAAAATAATCATATGTATAACAACAGTGCAGGTATATAGAAGGTTCTATTAGGGGATATGCATAAGGAAAATGGTGGGGGAGCGGAACGAAAACGCAATTCAAACGGAACACAAAGCGGACAAGGTCACAGACGTAGGTGTCAAGGATATAAGAATTCACCGGATAAACATGTCAATGGAAATTAAATTAGACCACTGCCAGTGACCTTACTCTTTATAGCACTTCCTTAAATACGTCCACTAAAGAAGACCGAGGAGAGAAGCCTGTTGTGAGGTGCCTATTTTCCATCCCCACTCGGTTGGTAGTTAGGTTTCCTAAAGTCAACCTTGTCCTCACGACATACCCTGACCACTGCTCTCGGTATGGTTACCAAGTTCGGCGTCAATGAACACCTGCTTCTGTGCTACGAATTTTTAAGGCGACTAGGCATCGACAAAACGATACCTCACTATCCCAGTACATCATGTTGCGCATCCATTGGAAGATGCGCTGCTTTTCGAACGTTGGCATACCAGATAGCTGGTTACATTCCCTCTTCGAGATGGAAACGACAAAATATTACATTGTAGGATGGAAAGTATTCTGAAAACGCGTTGTACCTTGCCAAGTTACGATCAACTACTATAGTCTTGCATTGTGCAAAAACTGGGCACATAGCTTTAATGGCTCTCACAGCAGATCTATAGCTGTCACCGCTCTCATTCGGCAAGATAGCGTAGAGGAAACTTCTACCTAAAACGGTGTTGTATACAAGCATAGCATGCTAAAGCACATTTCCGCCACAATTTAGCTGGTGTGTGGCGTCCGCTAACAAAACATCATTAAACCTGGAGACGCATTGCAGCATAATCTTAGGAACAAAATAAATGTGACAAGCAACGCCTCCGTTCAGCCCTATCCTAACCTCTCCCTGATTCTCCAACGTATCCCTAACTTTCACTGCATCGCCACGTGAATCCAACTGAGACATTCTTCGACGTAAGGATCTTATATCTGCCGTAGTTAAGGGTCTCTGGAACCTGTGTGGCGAAATCTCTCAGCTCGCGAGTACATCTAAAATCGTCCATGAAAGTACAAACTTCCTCTTCCTCTACTCTAGATAGACGACGATTACTTATATACAGACCCCGATGACCTACACGGAAGTAACGGTTGTGCACCAGACCACGTATCATCACTCGGTACTCCCCCCTAACCGCGCGAATTCCAACGAATACTGGACAATGGATATTTTGCAGCCTAAAATGGGCTAAATACATTAGAAATGAGAGGTATGATTACCTGTTTACAGTTGTGCCGCGCCTTCTGTGATGTGCATAGCAATATTTGATGAAATAGTACGGAAAACCCTCAGGCAGAGTCAGTTTCCGACCAAACGTGCTCTCCCGTATCAGTTTTTCGGCTGTCATTGACGCATAAACGTAGAAGGAAGTGCAAGTGTAACCCTTTGGAATTCATGGAAGTCCTCCAAGAATCCGTCCAGCAATCCATAGTAATTTTTTAACATCCGTGCAAAAACGACTGTATCGTCAACATGAGCCCTGGTTGATATGAGCGTAGAAGTGATCGTCGCCATTAGGTTGCGGTATTTATACTTTCCGTACATCCACATTACCCACCGAATCCATGGCTTCAGAGACCATTGAGAAATGGTATTCTCTGAGAACTAAGTTCTTCTCAGACTTGGATCTTCATCGGTGCAGATCAAGAAGCGAACGCCAAGACACCAGACGTGCAAGTGAACTCACGGACGAACAGCCAGTCCTACGTCTGACCACTTTGTTAGGTAGCACGGTCGACAGCAGCACTCCCATTTCCAGAGAAAAAGCTTGACATTTCCAGCTCAGACAGAGCTAGCAGTCTAAACTAATTTAGCGCACATTGCGCACACAGCTCCAAGTTAGAAACCCCTGCACAGCCATTGACGTCGAGACAACCTCCGGCGATTTGTCTACAGAAAATCTGCTCGCAGCAAATAAAAATATGATAGTAGAGCCATGAGGCTGTATGTACACCAACAGCCAAAGCCTTTTAAACAATATGTGTGAGCTCCGTCTCCAGGTCGACCAACACCGGCCACTACTGGTCGGTATAACGGAGACCTGGGTTCACTCGGGGATATCCGATGCCGAACTGGAAATTCCCGAGCTAGACATCCTGCGACAGGATAGAACAGACGGCATAGGTGGAGGGTGTACCCTTTTTGTCAGCAGGAAACTAAGGTCTGTGAGGCTCATAGATCCTGTACCAGAAAGGGTACCGAAGAGCGTCTGGGCAGCCATAAAAATGGACGGCAAAAGGCAATGCCTGGTATGCGTTCTCTATAGGCCACCAAATTGTTCAGTCGACGAACTCTGCCATTATCAACGCACTAAAGCACGTATAAGGTTGAAATAGCACCACGTTCTGATAATGGGGGATTTCAATTTACCGGAGATCTACTTTAGTACGTTGACCTGCCAAGCGGGACCTGAGTCCATAACCTCAGTCTCCTTTGACACGGTGATAGACATAGGGTGGCATGAGCACGTCCGGCAAACAACTCGGTGGCGAGGAAACTCGAGACCCTCGGCGCTAGATTGGGTTCTTACCAACGAATCCCACATGGTCGACTAGCTAGAGGTTTCTACACCACTGGGACTCGGTGGCCATGGTGTCATACGATTCAAATTCGTACATACCACGGAACTGATACGGTCGACAGGGTCCACTCGCTGGAACCTACGTAAGGCCGACATTCCCGGCATGCGAGCCTTCCTGGACTCAGCCTTATAGCCCCTTAACCCTTCTTGCGTCAACGATCACTGGAGCGAAGTGAGAGGGATTCTCACCGAGTCCATGCATAGGTTTGTACCACGGACACAGGTTCTACAATTCGAACCAAAAAAACGACTGTCGCCGTACATTTAAGCCCTTGGCAAGGAAAAGAAGCGAGTGGAACCAATACCAATGGATTACGACGCCTACTTTGAATTACGCAAAAAATGTAAGCTACAAAGAAAGCAAGACACCAGTGAGCACCAGAGGCAGTTCTTGAACCGGGCCATTGCGGACCCGAGGAGTTTCTATAAGAACATCTATATGGTGACCCAGGCGAAACCCGGGATCACAGACATCCGTCGTGCGGATGGATCCCTTACGGATGGCAACCAGGCTGCTGCTAACACCCTGGGTGAGTACTACTCTACGGTATTCAGCCCATAACTTGTTAGTCGGACAGACGGAAGGAGTCTTCCCGCAGTGGACTCCATACCCAGCAGGCTCATGGAACCTGTGTTGTTTTCCCCTGCACAGGTAGGACTAGAACTGGCAAGTCTCGTAGCTAAAACGTCACCGGGACTTGATGGGATACCACCCATACTAGTGCAGCAGTGCTCAGAGCAGTTAGCACTACTCCTAAGCAGACTGCTTAACCACTCTATGAAAGTTGGCGTTGCCCCGGACAGGTGGAAGACATGCGTAGTCTCTCCTAAATACAAGCCGGGGGACCGAACCTTACCAAACAACTACCGTCCGGTAGTCCTGCTCTCGGTGGTCTGAAAGGTAATGGAGGGACTCATTGACGGCTAAATTAAACAGGATCGTTGTTTGCACAATACTCATCAGGAGTTTCGCGGGAAGCAATCCTGCCAAGCCAAACTCATTGAGACCATGGAGTGGTGTACATGTGCTGCGGACAGAGGGGTGCATCTGGGCGTAGCCATGCTGGATTTTTTCAAGGCCTTCGATAGGGTTCGTCATTTTCTGATGATAGAGAAGCTGACCAACCTGGGATTCCTCGAAACCCTGATAGCTTGGGTCCCAGACCATCTGTACGATCGAACCTTTCGGGTTCGAGTGAACGGTGTCCTCTCAGATAGATTTGGAGCACCCAGTGGAGTACCCCAGGGCTCTACCTCAGGCCCCAGACTATTCACATTATTTATGAACGATCTCCCCGTCGGCATAGAATCAGACCAACTGATGTATGCAGACGACATTAAGATCTGCCGGGAGATTCAAAGCCCGTTAGATAAGTGCACCCTGCAAGAGAACTTATACAGGCTTTTTACCTGATCGGTTGCAAATGGGTTGCCGTTCAACCTTGATAAATGAAAGGTTATGAACATTGCAGGGCATTGTGCAAACGACTACTTGCTGGGAGGTAGAACATTGCAGAGGGTCAGGCACGAAAGGGACCTGGGCACAGTCATTACCGATTATCTGTCCCAGAAAACTAACTGCAACACGCTGGCCCGGAGGGCAATGTTCAAACTCAACCAACTCAGCCAAATTCCGGGGAAATTCACACTAGAGCCTTTCTCCAAGATTTTTGCTACGCTGATTAGGCCACACCTGGAGATCAACATCCAGGCGTGCTCGCCGCTGCTTAGGAGGGGTGTCAACGCCATTGAGCGGGAACAATGGAAAGCCACGAAGAGAGTACAGCGCTTGTCACGCACATCCTGCTCGGATAGACTCCGTTCGCTCAACTTGTACATCATGAAGTACAGAAGGGTAAGGGGCGAACTGATCCTCCTGTGGGACACACTCAACGTTCAAGGGCACCCTAACAGGCGTCTGTGCACGATGGCTCCTCCGTCAGCACTGCGCCGCCACTCCATGAAACTGGAGAGGCATCGTCCCAGACTGAGAGCCCAGGAATACTGTTTCTCGGTACGTGTATGTCGCCCTTGGAACTCACTGCCAGCAACAGTAGTCCAGGCTAAAAGTAAACTCGTTCAAAAAGCTACTTGACCAGCACATAGCCGAACAGTACCCTGACGCTCCGTTTGACATACCGTTACCCGCAATCGGAGCCACCCCAACATGGGGCATCTGAGCACCGGCCTTTGATTGTCGTACAATTTGTATGTTTTCAGATGAGGTGATGTAGACGTGTGACCCCCCAAATTTTTATCCTTATTCTGTCCTCGCTGATACCAGAGCTGTATTCTGCGAACAAGGACGGAGACCAGACGGTTGATCACTCAGTATGTATCCCGAAGGTAACTCACCCAGGTGATATAACACCCATCCACCACTAGACACAACCCCCATCCAAGCAAGACAGCGGGACTCTAATTCCTTATAGCCAAAGAATATATATACCTACAACGGTAAAAAAAAAAAGAAAACCCACCCACTAGACAATAATGCGAGGAACACTCGAAAGTGAGTGATTGGTAACAGTATAAACTCTGTTGATTCTGGAGAATATCGAGTATTGTTGATTCTGGAGGACCCGTCTCGAACGAGTTACGCGTGCGTC